CAGACGCGAGCTAATGCAATTACGTGAACCGCGAGGATCCGATATTAATCCTGCCGCTCGCTCCAATTCGAGCCGGGAGCTCCTCGCCGATTATTTCGGTGGTAGCCTTAACGTAATTTAAGATGCGAAATTGCATAGCGATTATTTTGCCGACGCGCTTGAAAATAACGGTCGCGCCGTTTTCGTTTGTTTCCAACAAATCCTCTAAATATATCCTCTGCCTTAATAAGGATATTCCCATCTCTCTCTCTCTCTCTCTGTGTTTGTCACGACGATTCCTTTTTGCGAGCAAAAAATACATCCTTTTGAATCATCTCATTTATACGTATTACGTTCGTAAGTTGAATTAGATTCAATCACTTTATTCATACTCCCCGAAGGTAAATAGTGTCTAAATATTTATCGCTTATAACGCAGAGATTATTGACGCTTCGACGTTTTTATTGAGGAAAGCCCAATGCTGGATTGACCACAAAATATTCATAATGGAGAAATATCGCTGGTTTATGCGCGAACGAAACGATGTGTAATAAATTTTCCAGTCCACGGTTCGCGTTCGCCGCCGTCTCGAAGGTAAATAGCGCGCGTTACATTACGCGGCCCGTAAGTTTCGCGAGCGGTTAGTAATTTTCGCTTTACGTTCGCGCGCTCTCGTTTTCTACGAATATAATGCGGTTAATGCTCCTCCTCAGTTTCCCGGAGTCGGCGAGACCGACGGCCCCCCCCCCTCCCCCCTTCCCCTGTCCTCCCTTATTCTCGAGGAGCATTCACTTATTGACTTCAATTCGGAGCCGGCGCATTAGCATAGCTCTGAATAATTCATGGTCGAATGGTTAATCCCGCGGTATGTAAATTAATCCCTCTAATTGCGAGCGACAATACGAGATGAACGTTGCGACCCGAACGCGCTCGCGCGCGGCCAGAATCGTCCGATTTATGTACATATTTCTCGGTCTACTTTCAACGAGATCGCGACGAGATAATTCTCGTCGCGTAAGCTTCACAAATTATTTGGTCCGGGCGAACGGTTCCGGAGAAATGCATAATAACGGCCAGATAATTGCAGGTCGAATTATTTTCTATGACTTAGTCGAGATTCAGCCGCGTTGAATATTCAAGATTTTGGATTCGGGCGAACGTCGTCGGGAGTCGTTATTTTTCGCGAACCTTTCCTCCGGAGGGGGAAAGGGGTGTCTTTCGACGGAATTACGCTCGTTCCGATTCGCTTTGGGAACGAGCTGACGAGCTAATCTCGCGTAATTACCGCGCGATTTCCGCGTCGGTCGCCGAATCTCCTCCTAAAGACAAGACAGGTCGTCGTTTTTTTAGCGACTGACAATTTCCCATGGCGCGATTTTTATCTCGCGTTTAATAGACGACTCATCGTCGACAATGCGGCGCGCGTTCGACGGAAAAAAACAACCCCGCACGTCGCGATCGTGGAAAAACATTATCGCAGCTCGGCGAAACTGCTAATTGAAGTGGTTCGCAAAAGTGGCTCGCGTTTGTTGCGATTTTCACCACGTGTTA